CGCCCGCCGTGCCGGTCGCTGCCTGGGCGCGCGGGGTTGGGGACCCCCATGGTGGACACCCGGACTTCAAGGGTCAGCCGCCGCCTGGGGCGCCGGGCAAGCTGCAGGCAGGTAGGAGCTGGGGGCACCCCCAGGATGTGGGATCCACTGATGTCCTGGGGCTGCAGGACATGGGAGCAGCTGCTTGTGGTGGGACAGGGCTGTGGGGCTGGATGTGCTCTGGGTGGTAACACCAGGAGTCCTTGGGAAGCACTTGAATCCCTGGACATGATGGGTGTCAGTGCAGGAAGGATCAGGCCTTCTTCCAGAGCTGTTGCCAGAATCATGGTAGTGCCCATCACCGTGGCCTCGGGGCATGCAGAGCCTCCTCTCTCCTCTCTGTCACAGCCCAGCAAAAGTCACCCTTTTAGCTGGGGGCTCAGTGCAGAGAGAGGGCACTGAGGTGCCCCTCATCCTCATCTGCAGGTGGCACTGATGGCCAGTACCATGGAGACACCCAGGGGACAACGGAGCAGCAGGAGCAGGCAGGGAGGCTCCAGCTGTCCCCATCCCCACATAAGCCCCTTCATGCCACCATCTCTCAGCATCCACAGCAGGACAGCACCAGCACTCTCAGTCCCGAGCCCCTTGCGTTGTGTTCCCAGGGTGGCTTCAGAGTCCACCAGGAGCTGGTGTTGGTCCTGAAGGGGGGAGCTGAGGCGTGTGGGGACTCTCTGGTGCCAAGGGAGCGTGTCCCCATGAGAGCAGACAGACCTAGGGACACATGACATTATGGGAGGGTGCCTGCACACGTGAGATGGTGTTTGCACGTTGGTGCAAACATCCCTGGGGATGCTCAGATGGGCAATGGGCATTGCCTGAGGCCAGGCCTTGCGGTGGGTGGTCCAAGCTGTCCCCTCTGCTTGGAGGACAGCTGCGCCAAGAAGGACATCAAGGGGAAGGGCCCTGCTGGGGCCGAGAAAAGCCATCACCTTCGGGACGAGGCCATGCCACAGCCATGGGGCTGCATCTCCAGGCTTGCTGTCCCCAGAGCCTTGTGACAGGGACACCCAGCAGCTCCTGGGCTGGTGGCACAAGGAGGCGTGGCAGGAGCCACCTTCCTCCCTGTCAGGGTGGTAGGTTCTGAAAGGCATGAAGCAGGTAAACGCTTGCCCCAAGGGTGCTCTGGCCATTGGAGATGGACAAGGAGCTGGGCAGACCCTGGTGTCTCATCTTGTGGACAAACACGCATCAAGGTGACAAAGGTGAAAAGGGTGTAGAAAACCCACTGCAGGCTCCTCACTGCCCAACCAGCACATGGGAGCCCCTTGCCTGGCTCCTGGCCTTACCCAATGTCTCTCCTGGTCTCCCGTCCCATTCACACGTATCTCCTGGCAGGTGCTGTCCCTGGGCGCTGATGTCCTTCCCGAGTACAAGCTGCAGGCACCACGCATCCACCGATGGACCATCCTGCATTACAGCCCCTTCAAGGCCGTGTGGGACTGGCTCATCCTTCTGCTGGTCATCTACACAGCTGTCTTCACCCCCTACTCAGCTGCCTTCCTGCTCAATGAGGAGCAGGTAGAGGAGAAACATTGGGACTGCAGCTACTCCTGTGACCCCCTCAACATCATCGACCTCATCGTGGACATCATGTTCATCGTGGACATTGTCATCAACTTCCGGACCACCTACGTCAACATCAACGACGAGGTGGTGAGCCACCCTGGCAAGATCGCCATCCACTACTTCAAGGGATGGTTCCTCATCGACATGGTCGCCGCCATCCCCTTTGACCTACTCATCTTCCGCTCCGGCTCTGACGAGGTACAGGCTCCATCGGGACAGGAGAGGACTCATGGATAGGTGGGGTGAGATGTATGGGAGAGAAAGAGAAGGATATGGATGGCTTGATATAAGTGATGGATGGCTAGATCCACAAGGAGAGGGGTGGTTACATAGAGGGATGGGCAAAGATGTCATGACTGGTCTTTATTAAGCAGCTGGGACATGGGATTTTATTTAGTAGGGTCAGACAGCCACAAAAACCCTACTGTAAGTGCTAAGGTAGGGTCTAACTGGACCCACCCCCTTTGCTGGGGCTGACCCAGAAGCTGGGAGCTCGGTTTAGGGACTGGCCCCACATGCCAGTGAGGCCGAATTTGGGGTCGCATTGCCAGCCACACTCAAAATGTTGGCAGTGGGATGGCCCCTGTGGTTACTGCACTACCTGGAGACCCCACCTCAGCTGAGAGCCTGTGGGATGGGGTGAAAGACAGCTGTTTTGGGAGCTGCGGTTGGCAAAGTGAGGACCCCTGAGGAAACATGACGATGGCCTCGGCTCCTCTCACTTGCTCACCTGTAATCCCAGAGCTTGTTGCCTTTATGGTAAGCAGAGGGAAACTGCACTTTCTGTGGCATGATTCATCTAACCTATTTCGGATGTCACCTCCAGGACAAGGTGAATCACGCTCTAGAAATGCATTTTTAGCCTTCAAAGGGAGCACAGCCAGGCTGGAGACGTGCCTTTGGCCAGATTTCTCTCCTGCTTGTCCCTGAGGTTTCTCGCCTCTCCCCTGCAGACCACCACCCTCATTGGGCTGCTGAAGACCGCCCGGTTGCTGCGCCTGGTCCGCGTGGCCCGCAAGCTGGACCGTTACTCCGAGTACGGAGCAGCCGTGCTCTTCCTGCTCATGTGCACCTTCGCCCTCATCGCCCACTGGCTGGCCTGCATCTGGTACGCCATCGGCAACGTGGAGCGGCCCTACATGGAGCACAAGATCGGCTGGCTGGACAACCTGGGCGACCAGATCGGCAAGCGCTACAACGACAGCGACCTCTCCTCTGGCCCATCCATCAAGGATAAATACGTCACTGCCCTCTACTTCACCTTCAGCAGCCTCACCAGCGTGGGGTTTGGCAACGTCTCACCCAACACCAACTCCGAGAAGATCTTCTCCA